AAAAAAAAGACTCTTAATCCCTCTGTAAATTTTATCCATTTTTTAAAAAAAAAGTTGTTAATCTACCGTTTAGCATTCGTTACCGTTGAAGAGCTCTCAAAGATCCTAAGAAAAGAGCAATTATTCTTCGGACCTGTAGTGCCCCAGTGAATGAGAACAGCCGGGCCAGTGTAAAATAGTAAGATTTGGAGATAAATATACTGATCTACGTACCCCCCACCATGCTTGGTTTTGCCCTCGAAAAGCAAAACACTAGACGGTGATGTGTTAGCGAGGACTGGTGTTGACAAGTCAGCAATTAATGGCTTGGACTGGAGTTCTCGACTTCTTTCTTAAAAACTTCAACTTCATGGAGATTTTTTTTTCCTTTTTTTTTTTGGGTCCTTTCCCAAGGGCCATACATGCATCAAAGCACGTGTTAACCATCACGGACTTTGTGCTTTTCCCGGGGCCATGCATCACGGTGGATATGCCCACTACTTCATCCTACAGCTGCAGACAACGGGGAGTAACGACGAAAATGACCAAAAAGTAACAGAAAATAAATAATAAACAAGGAAAAGGTAGCAAAAGAACAAACCGATTTAACAAGAATCATGGAAAAGGTATCATTAAACCAAGACAATAAAAAAACAAATACAGGCATCCATAAATAAATAAAGTAGCAACTACTCGATGATTTGATTAGTAAAGGGTAAAACTGAGAGACCGACTACAACTGAGAGTGAAGTAGCAACTACTCGATGATTTGATTAGTATATGAATACCTATAATCTGGAACGTACATCTCCCAAAAAAACTACTCAATTATTTTCTATTGAAAATGTCCATAAGCAAATGAACATGCATGACTAGTATAGCTTGTATTCGAACATCCGCTATATCATTCACAGGTGGATAGATGGTCAGTTTCAGAATTTTAGCTCTTTTGTTTATGTTGCGATATCACCCCACCTCTATAAGTATGGTCCTAGTGGGATTCATGTTCTAACTTGAAAGGAGGGCTACCATTACATTCTAGAATTCTGGTATTGGATCGGGCCTGAATCTAATGATGGAATCAGAGGCTTTAGTGCTGGCCGTAGGCCCATAGAAAAATTTGAGGCCTTGGATATATAAAGCATGTAGCACCCTTTGTGCTATTCTTTCACGTATCATTTTGTTTTTTGTTGGAATGATTATTTTCTGTATGGCCGGACTTAATATCTTGTTTTCATAACTTAAAGCCTTGAACAGCTCTAGAAAGTTTATTTACCAGAGAAATAATATAATTATGTTATTACAACATAATTGTATTTTTCGTAACACAAATCAAACTTAAATTAAAAAAAAAAAAGACTTAATTGAAAACAAGAAGCGACTGCCTTGTGTCATCCAATATTAATAAGGGCTCAGAGAGGACTTACCGTCTTACGCAGGTCAAGTCTTTGCGGTCAATATAAATTTGCCTTCTGATCTGGCAATTTGGTGGTAATGCTAAGTTTAACACAATTATGAAGGGGTCAATTAATGTTTAAGTCATTTTCTAATCTTTGCCACAAGAGGAGTTGGTATAGGTCAATTTGGGGTCAATAAAAAATTTGTAATGTGATCTGGCATAATGATGATTAGTGTTAATTTAACTCTTAATTGATTTTCTAAGCCTAGTTGAGATTGTTGTAACTTGCTATAAATTTAGCCCTTTACCCCCATTAAGTTCCGTCACAAGCGTCATTCCTACAAGCAAAATGGTGTGTGTTATTTTGTCCTTCTCTCATTCCTTTCCCAATTTTTTGAAATGTTTTAAGCTTTAGATTACTGAACAACTTGTGTAACTAGTTTAATTTCTTACATTGTTGTTGCTTTTAGGGTTACTACAACATCACTAGCCAGTTTGTTGTTTACAAGGGTTGTGAAGGAGGAGAGAGGCGCGGTTGGCGTGGATGCTTCGGTGGAGGAGGAGTGGTGGCGCAGGGGCGGTGGAGGAGGAGGAGGTGGTGGTGGAGGAGGAGGAGGCAGGGAGGTGGCGGCCGTCCTAGTGATGTGATCTTGGCAATTAACGGCATTACATGCTCATGATTGTTACCCTTGCATTTCAACCTGTGTTTTGTTGCATTTTCTGTACTTTGTTGTGCTTTTATTTCATCTTTAATTTGAATAAGTCATAGTGTGGATGAGACTTCTGTTTATTGTCTATGCTCTGTACTCTAAATCTTTTCATATATTTGAATTTGAAAAATGTTAGGAAAAATTGCTTCAAGACCCCAAAAACCAACTTTCAATGTGCCCAAGCCCCCCCCAACTTCCTCTCAATGTGCCCCAGCCCTTTTTGAAAAAATTTATTCCAGTGCCCCTCTGCAGCAAGTTCGCAATGGCAACATCCTCCAAAAATCCCGATTTACCTCCCCCTCACCTCTCTCTCTCCTCCTCCGGTCCCTCCTCAACCCCCTCCCGCCGCCTCCCTCCCCAGACAGCTCTGCCCCTCTCCCCCCCTGCCTTCCTCCTCCTCCTCCGATCCCCTTGCAGCCCCCCCCCTCGTCCGCCTCCCTCCCACAGCTCCCACCTCCCTCCCCCGCTGCACCTCCCCCCTACACCTCCCTCCTCCTCCTCCGGTCCCCCTGCCCCCACCTCCCTCCTCCGCTCCGCCGCTGGCGCCGTCCCGAGGAACTTCGCATCTCATGTTAACTATTATAACTAACATGTTAACTATTATAGTTGCTCAAAACATATTTATGAAATTATAATAGTTAACATGTTATCTATAACAGTTAACATGTTATCTATAATATTTAACATGTTATCTATAATAGTTAAAATGAGCTAGGATGAGCTGACATTAGAAAAAAATGGTAAAATTAGGATTTTAGAAGCTGACATGTCTAATCATGAGCTGACATGTCTAATCATGAGTTGGAATCATGATGGATGGGCCTAGACACAATTTTTTCAAAAAAAAGGCTAGGGCACATTGAAAAAAATGTGAGGGGCTTGGGCACATTGAAAGTTGATTTTTGGGGCCTTGAAGCAATTTTTCCAAAATGTTATAAAGTCCTTGCTCTTGGTTCCTAGTTAGTATCAGCTTAATCTTGTATTATTACTGGATAAAGTTTTGTTTTATTTGATATTGTGCCTTCAAGAGTGATAACCGAAACCAGTAATTGTCCAAATGGGTCCTAGGTACAAATACTTTTGACGTCTTACTTTGTATCAGGATGGTGGGTCCCAGTTTCGTGCAGGGGGGTGTTCTTGAAAGGGTTGAGTTACTCTTATTGGTGTGAGGGCTCAAACTCGGGCTCTCCCTTAATCGTAGGGGTCTCATAACCAAGTTTCACATGTTGCCAAAAAAAATATAATTGTGCAAATGAATCTGTTATGTATTGGATATGATTCTTTATCATATATGTATATTCTTATCACTTAGCAATGTGAATACATATGCAATTGTGCCTCGATAAGAAAAACTCAAATAGATGTCAATGAAAATCAAATGCTCATGCAAATCAAATAAGTAAGATGTGTCTCGGTAAGAAAAACTCAAATCGCTGTCAATGAAAATTGAGTTCCCGTGCAAATCAAGTAAGTGAAAATGTATATGGATATAAAAGGGATGTGGAGGAAAATAAATAAGATTGACATATATATATAAGATCATGCAACACAAGAGAGTCGATTACTATGCCCCGCATAGCAGAAAAGTTAAGATTTTATCCTTAGATCACTAAAATTATCCTCAAATATGCTTATCCATTGGTTAATAACTCTCTCTCTCTCCTCTCTCTTATATATATATATATAATATATATATATATATATATATATATATATACTATATATATATATAGTGAAAAGTGAATCTAAGGTGACACCTTAGGCTCCCACCCTAAGGACGCGGCCTAGAATCACATCATTTACTAAATTTTTTTTTGCGGATCCGCTCCGCTTGAACTTGATCTACACGTTCTTAACCCAAACACACCAATTTTGGGTGAACGCGTCATGTTTTGATCATTCGTTAAGCGAATGCAAAAAAGTTCTATTCATTCGAAACCGTTAAAATTACAGCGAGTGGATAAAGGGTCAAAACACGACGGGTTCACCCAAAATTAGTTGGTTTGGCTGTTTAGAACCGTGTAGATCAAGTTTAACGGAGGGCGGTTCTGCCAAAAAAATTTAGGAAATGATGTGATTCTAGGCCGCGTCCTTAGGTGGGAGCTAGCGTGTCACCTTAGATTCACTTTTCCATATATATATATATATATATCACTCGCAAGTGTATAGTATCATGTCAATACCAATATTTAGTTTCACACACACCACCACACAGTATACTATATATATATATATACATATATATATATATATATATATATATATATATGTATATTATATATATTATTTATATATATATATATTAGGTATGTGACATGATACAGATACACATGTGCGAGTGATATATATATATATATATATATATATATATATATATATATATTATATTATATATATATATATATATATATCACTCGCACATGTGTATCTCCGTATATGTCACATACCAATATTTAGTATTCATATATGTATTCTATCTAATACTGATGTATAAGTATGCGAATACAGATATTTATTTGCCTTAATCTTTTTTTTAAAGAAACCTCTCTCTTATTTTGGCACATGCATTTGCTTTCTTTCTTTTAATAACTAATTCATTGAAGAGAACTGAGTAAAAGGGCAAGTCCGAACTATTCTCCACATTTCACTCCCCTGTTCCTGGCTTAAACCCACGTGTGACGCCACCCTTAAAAACTCAGACAAACTTCACCTGCATCCACTGCTCTCCAACTACAACACAATCCTCCTCCCTTCTTCCTATTTCTTTGTTCGTCCTGGTCTTCTTCAGTTTATTTTCCTTTCTCTTCTTCTTTTATTTCAACATTTTTCAGTCACATTTCTTTATTTGTCCCAAAGAGAAAGAGAGAATGCAGCAAACGTCATCCCAAATGAAGAACGGCGG